ACCAGGAATAAATCCTCAGATGATACACAGCATGCATGGTTCTTTCACATTCTCCCAGTTTCTTGTGTCATCTCCCTTCCAAGGCAGTCATGATGGCAGAAGAGCTGAAGAAGGAGCAGAACACCAGCACCCAACTGGAGAGGATGAAGAAGAACCTGGAACAGACAGTGAAGAACATACAGCACTGTCTGGATGAGACTGAGCAGTTGGCTTTGAAGGGAGGCAAGAAACAATTCTTGAAGATGGAGGCCAGGGTGGGTACCAACATTGAACATGAATGTCAAAGATACCTTTCTTCTCTGAGTCCTGTGTGAGGGCTCAAGCCAATTGTGGATTGATTCACCAGATCCGAGAGCTAGAAACTGAGCTGGAAGAAGAACATAAACAATCTGCAGAGGCTATGAAAAACATCCGGAAATATGAATGGTGTGTCGAAGAGCTTACTTTCCAGGTGGGTATAAATAAAAAGCAGTTCTCCTTATGTTTTGTCTCCCAAAGATGTATAATTGCACATTCCCTTTCCACAGAATGAAGAACACAGGAAGAGCATGGTGAGATTGCAAGATCTGATAGATAAACTGCAGATGAAAATCAAATCCTACAAAAGACAAGCTGAGGAAGCTGTGAGTCACTAACTGAAGCAAATACTTATTTACCATTTTCTAGGACTGTCAGTTTAAAAATTGGCTCTGTGCCCCAGCACGTTGCCAAAAGTTTTTTTAGTTCCTTTTGTTTTGCCATTTCAGGGTGAACAAGCCAATACTAATTTGTCCAAATTCAGAAAAGCACAGCATAAGCTAGAAGAAACTGAGGAAAGGGCAGATATTGCTGAGAGTCAAGTAAACAAGCTCAGAGCTAAAACCTGAGAAGTCCCTGCTACAAAGGTAAGCCTTTATTGCAAGAGACAGGTGTGCAGTTTGTACTGTTTGCTCAAGCAAGTCAAGCAGTAGATTTGTGCCTTGCCAGTGGATATAGCCATCATTCAGAAAAGACAGTTCTGGAAGGAAGGGACTTTGAAGACAGGTTGAGAGGGTTGGGGTTGTTCTGCCTGGAAAAACGAAGGCTCTGGGGAAACCTTAATCTGTCCTTTCAATATATAAAGGGGGCTTATAAGAAAGACAGAGAAAGACTTTTTACCAAGGCCTGTAGTGACAGGACAATGGTTTTAAACTGAAAGAGGGTAAGTTTAGGTTGGACATAAGAAAGAAATGCTTCACGATGAGGGTGGTGAGACACTGGAACAAGTCTCTCAGAGAAACTGTGGACATCCCATCATTGGAAGTGTTCAAGGTCAGGTTGGATGTGGCTTTGGGCAACCTGATTTAGTGAAAGATGTCCCTGTCCATGGCAGGGGTTTTGGACTAGGTGGTCTTTGAAGATACCTTCCAGCCAAAACTATTCTGTGATACTATGATTCTATGACTCTGGCATTTCAGGCTCTGGTGCCAAGCATGAGCCTTCTGGCTAGTTTCATCACATTAGTTTGAGATTCAAGAAACTGCCTCATAAAGTGAAAGTAATGAGAGCCAGCCTAACTCTGAACATTCTTAAAACAACCTTCCTGTGAGCCTTAAGCAGAATTAATGTTCTGACTGAGAAATACGCAGCAGCACTTTGTCCTTAGCTGAACTTCCTGGGCAGTTGTCCATCTCCAGCCCAAGACTTTGCTACAAGATCTAAAGCCTGTTTTTCCTATTGTGATCTATGCAGGTGTAACACCTTTTCACTGCACTAGTGTAGTTCAGTGTGTGGTTGGAGGTAAAATACCCTCAGTCCAAGTTTTGGAAAAATTACTAGTGCCTAGAGCACATATCCAAGAAATGGAGAACCTTGGCTCCATGCTGCCTTCTGCTTACCCACAGCATCTGCTTACTCATATAGCATTTTAATTCTACAAGAGACGCTATGGAAAATATGCTTTCTTGTGAAGGCTCTGGACTGAGACTCAATAGATAGTGTTGGTTCTACCAGAGACTACTGTGCAACTTTCAGTGGGTCACTTAATGCTGTGCTCCAGTAAAAGGCTTTGACTCTTCAGTGCTTGTCAGGGTATCTTGCCGAGACCCCGGGGGATGCACTTGGAAGGCTGAGTCCGGGTTCCTAAGCAAAGTCTCTAGACATGAGATTACCTTATAGAATCTCTAATTGAATTGAAAGCCCAGACAGAGGCAAGATTTCAGATATCTCCTATTGAGTATCCCCAGGTAAAGGCAGGTTGAACATACTGACTATGGGCAACTCCCTCTGCAATGTGCTGTAGTTTTAGATCCTGCTTTGAGCTGCCTGATTCTGTGCAGTATATGCAGACCCTGGGCACCTGGTACAAGTTCTGAATTCTGCTCTGAGAGACCTAAAAATTAAGCATTGTAATGCCTAAATCTTTAAATAGATCCAGTAGATCAATACATCCTTTTACTCCCTTCCATGCTTTACATTCACTTTTGTAAATGCTGGGATACTCCTTGTCCCAGAGGGTGAGCGTGCAGGTTGTTTAATCACTGCAAGTAAAGTAGCACTTCAGAAAAGCCAACAGATACGTTTCTCCATTTCAACCCGTCCGTCTGACAGCATGACATTTGATGATGTGTGGTCTTAATGGTTACAGACACTGCCTCATTGACCTGGGCTCCACTTGCACATCCTAGCTGGATGGTGCAGATTTTAGGGACTGAAAGACTCATCTTGATGTGTGTGGACTAAACAATGCTTCTCCTTTCCAGGTGGTGTTAGGAAGTGAAAAATGATCTTCCTCTGGGATAATCAGAACTTACACAAAGTATCTCCCAGCTGTGGATTTGCAGTAGCTAGACCTACACTGCTAGGAAGTAATCTTCCATTTGCTTATGGACACAGACATTTTCTGTCACTCTGCTGCTGTATCAGTGTCAATAAAGTAGATATCTGCAACTTCAGATGCTCCAAATGTTGATATTCAGCTGAGAGTAATTTTATTTCTAAGTTAAGCATAGTCAAAACTATGGGTTCAAGTCTTACAGCTGCTATGATTGTGCTTGAGCGATTTTGTCCTGACCTTAAAATCTAGATGTTTGACAGACTTCCTCCGTACTGTCTGCTTGAAAGCAGATATTCTGACCTTGTTAAATGAAGCTGAGAATAAACTACTGTATGAGCAGATGTGGTATGTCAAACGTAATGTGAAGAAAATTACAGCATTCATGCTTAGTTTCACTGCTGTATCTTTGCATGGGAGAACGAGACTGGTCCGCCCATGAGCCCACAGCCACCTGTGTGCGTTACAGATCAAGTATTTCTAATCTCCTTGTAGTCAAACTGCACTTCAGGAAGTTGGCCCACTCCTGAGCTATCCAGTGTTACAGCTCCAAGCAGATGAGGACTTGAACTTAGATGTCTCACATACTTGTTACCTTGGAAACAGTTACCAAATGGTCTGTAATGTTAGCAGCAAAATCTGAGTAGCTGCTTGAAGCTTATGTCCCCAGTGGCACTGGGCACCATAATTCTGCTTGGTGTTTCCCAAAGAGAAATACGTGTTCAGCTACTTTGTGGTGTATGTGTAGTATATAGTTGAAACTGCAGGATCTCAGGTAGTGAGAAAACCCAGATACTTTGGCGCTGGTGAAGACCGCTGAGAAGAGATACCTGACAGCACAGTAGGGGCTAGAGAGTGAATGGGATACCTTTGTGCAGACATCCTGGTGCTCCGAGAAGATGAATTAGTTTGTGCACAGCACTAGATGCTCAGTCAAATAGGATACTGACACTGTTGTTAAGTTCCAGATGGCTACTTCGTGTCTGTATGCCTAGGAAAGGTATATCCAAATGGATCTCACCTCACCTGGCTCCAGGACACAGCCACACCAGTGCACAGGAAGCAGTCTGCCCTGCTTCTGCTGTCAGTAACAAGGATGGGAGAGGAGAAACTCAAGATGTTCTGTCACTTCTGTCTGAAAAAGAATGATGGGCATCACCTCTTTCTCAGTTTTCAACTACAAAGAGGTTAATAAAACCAGCAGATATCTGTCCCTCCCATGACACCTTTGAAGGTTTTACCATGGCTCCCTATTAGACCTCCAATTTTTTCCATTCATCCTCATCCAGTGCACTCGTGCTCCTTGGCAAAGAGTCAGGATGGCTCTACCATCATGGTCAATGTCTCTGCCTAATCCTTGCCAGTCCAACATTACCTATGTAGGGGCTTCTCCTGTTGGATGGCAGACCTGTTTCTTCCATTACAGCAAAATAATCAGGAGCCTTAATCTCTTGGCTGCCACCACCCCAGGTCAACAGTTCACTCATTTGCAGCACTGCATCATACCCCTTTGCACTGAGATGCTATGTGCCAGACACCTCTGGCCCACCTGAGCTGAGATTTGTACTTCAGTGTGCCGAAAGGGAGGTAGAGCTGTGCTATAGATGGGACCCACTACTGAACATAACTTTGTCCACATGAACAGTCCCCTGTTGCAGCCTATTAGTACATCAATTCCTTGCATCAGATAACCTGGAGATTCACATCCCTAGTTCAGCCTGCATGAACTATAAATGGTATCTCAGTTTGAGAGCAAAAACCTTCAGAGTTCAGTGCCAGAGGTACCACTTAGGAACCACTACAGAAGCTAAGGTGGTGTGGCATGCCTCCCCAGGTTGGTAAAGACATTGTCATGCCTGCACAGCACAGCAAAGCCAGCTAAAAGAGCAGTCCATCAATCTATCATTGCTTGGACTCCAAGAGATCGAAGCCCTCTAACATTTCTCTTTTTTCCACGTATTACAGAACATTTGAGATTGGAAGGGGTCTCTGGAGGTCATCAAGTCCAAACTCCCTCTCACTCCCTATCACTCTCTTCTGGCTCCCAGTGGAAATACAATGTACACACACTTTAGAAAGTGTCTGATCTTGCATTTGCTCTAGCAAAAGCTGATAGCAATATGTTTTCTAGCACAGGTGTTTCTCTCATCAGTGAGTTCTCCTTGCTGCCTGAGCCCTTCTGTTATTCACAAACACAAGCTCAGTTTGTTTGAGCTCTTTAGCCTGCTCTCTAGGATTGGGGCTCACAGGACCCTGCCCATTGTTTCTTCCTTTGTGTGGCTGCCAATGAACTTGTTGTCACTGACTGGATTGACAGGTACTGCAAGGTGGGCTCACAAAGTGTGGGGGGTAGGTTTCAGAATCTTTGGGACAGTGTCTGCATTGCTTCCACATGTTTTCTAGGCTCTGACCTCACAACTCCTGGTGGGACATGCTGTTTTTATAACTTTACACAGTGGTTTAGTAGTGCCACAAAGAGGAGTCTCTGAGGGGTTCCTTGCTAAATCTAGACCTGGTTATTGCTGCTGGAGTTGTCAGAGTGTACCACGTAGCGTCCCTTTCTAGGTAGTTTAGTCCACTAGTGAAATTTTCTTCTTTTTTTCAGTTGCAAGATTTAAAGCATCTAATATTGGGGTAGGAAGTCTCTCAGTTACTCACAATTTCCTTGGCATCCTTTAGTAGCTGGGGCATTACGGGATTGCAAGTCAAGCATTGGAGCAAGGCTGTGCAGGGACATGGTGGAGTCACCATCCCTGGAGGTGTTTAAAAGATGTGTAGATGTGGCACTTAGGGACATGGTTCAGTGGTGGACTTGGCAGTGCTAGGTTTACGGTTGGACTCAATGATCTTAAAGGTCTTTTCCAACCCAGACGATTCTATGATTCTAAGTTGGGCATCTTGTTTTTATCTCCTGCATTCAACCACATCTTCTGGTGTCCTTTCTCAAATCCGCACTCCAGGACACTCTGAAGACTTGCCATATTTCTGAGTTAGCAAGTCTGCGCAAGAGTCACACTTGTATGAGGCAATGAGGCTGTGAGTCCATCCATTCCCACCTTTTGTTACTGAATACAG